TATGGATTCATGGATTTATTGATATCGACGGATTTGTATTGAAATTTATTTATTGACGGATTTACGGATTTACTGTTACTGTGCGATTTCATTGATATTTGCATTATGTCACTAAGCATTGATACTGATACTGATATGGATATCGATATTGCATTGACTTATTGTTACTATGGACATGGATATTATTGATTCATTGATATTATCGCTTCATTGATACACCGTATTGAACTGCTGCATGTGATTCATTGATCAATATGGAATAGGTTTTACTGTATTGATTTGATTTCAACCATTCTTACGATGTATTGGTTTGATTGTTTTATACGATTTCATACCGATTGATGTTATTGACCAGAGATAATTGATTTGATTGATTATATTGATACGATATTGATTTAACGGTTATTATCGAGACGACGATTTTCCTCTATTGATTTGATTGGATTCTTACAAGATTTGACGTATGTACTGATTTATTGGAGCTTTATGGATTTCTTCCTACTGTTTATCGATTCTTTTACCGATTATTGTGGAATGTATCGATCATGCATTGATTACTGATTTTTCATATTTGCTGCATAGATTCACTAATCATGTGCAACTGATTGTTATGGATTTGATGGACTGACATGCATATTGTTTCAGTACCGTGCTTTGATTTCAGTTGTGGGCTTTGGTGACCTGCTGAACTTTTTGAAGCTCATTATATGTGATTAACAATTTCAGGTCAGAGCAAAGGAGCAAGAAGTGATGGTTGATCAAGACTGTCGAAGAATCCTTTCACTATGGATGCCTGGGGCGTCACAATGGCTTTGTTGGTGGGTATGGGTGGGGGGTACTCAACATCGAAGGATAAATTGATTTACATTGCTAATCACATATATCTTATATTACTGCAATCCTTACTACATAGTGTGCAGCACTTAACCGCACTACGACTATGGTAAATTCTAATATGCTGCTTGAAAGTTTGCAATCATAGCAACATGCAACAAACCTCAAGGCAATCAGTCCGTGACAAACTGCGTTCAAAAAGCATATAAAATGGGTGGGTATAGGTGGGTACGACATCCCGAAAGTCACCATGGGTGGGCGTGAGTGGGCGAAGCCCGTCCAGTAAAGCATGAGTACCCAATGGTTACCCAACTAGGACCCCATGTAGGACTTTGTATGCCACTTCTAGCATCAGAGCTAAAGCCTAAACTTTGGCAATTCCACATACAAATTAGCAACTTCTTTAGAGTGCAAACCCATATATAAAAGTTAACTTTATATTGCTTTCGCCATGAAATCATATACATGAGATAACGAACCAAATAGTTATTTTGGTAGCACAAATGTAAAATCTAGCCTCTAAAAATTCCACCCCACATTTTATACATGCTGAACTCACCCACCTTGATACCCAAATCCCATGCAAGATTAACCCCTTCCTGGACACCTTTTCAAAGGAATGAGAGTAGACAGGATCACTATAATAGGCATGCTTAAAACATTAGGAATCCTTTTAGAGAAAACAAATATAGTACACGCTTTGAATCTAATCAAGTTACAAAGCATACACAGAAAGAGAACAGTTTCGTTCGCTTCATCTTCAGGAAGACACAAGGAAATTTTAAGAGAAAACATTCCCAAGAAATTAAAAAGATGATTAATAATAGAGTAAAACTGTCCAGGCTACTAAAAATTGAAAGAAATTATATCAACTAGATGAAGAACCCTGTTGAAACAAGTAAGAAGAAGAAAAAAAGTTATATTCAGCTACCAATGTCTCAAGAATGCATGCATTCCATCTATTCAAAGCTTAAATGAAATGGGTCATATCATTTACATAAAGAAAGGATTCACTGCAGCTAAGATTTTCCTATCTTTCCTTAATTCTCTTCGTAAAGAAGCAAAAAGGAAGCTTGCCTTCGGGGGACAATGGTATTATAGTTCTTATTTCTTAAACTATTTAGTGAAAGACCAGACCGACGGTACATCTGGGCCTCTGGAGAAAAGGCTTCCAACATTTGGCCTTCCAGGATTCAGGTTTCCAACTTGCTGAGGAGCATCCAAAACAGAGTCATCCCTGCTAAAACAATAAGAAAAATAAAGGTACTGCATGGTTAGAATCTAATTAACAAAGGACTACAAAAAGTAAATGGTAAAGGGAGAAGAAAATTCAATCTGCATGAGAGCTATTTTCTTTAGTTCTTAGCAGAAAATTTTCACATATACAGATAAGTATTTGAGAACATATAGTGTAGCTTGAAAAAAGTATTTGAGACATGTAGTCTAGCTTGAAATCCGGTTGTCATGAACGAGCCAGTTAAACAGAACAACACTACATAAATAATAGGGTTCATTTGGGACGACTTTTATTTGCTTCTTAAAGCAGATTTTTAGTAAAAAAAAGCGGTAAGAAAGCCGTCCCAAACGAAGCCTTAGGTTTCGTTTGGGACTACTTTTTTCTGCTTATTAAAGCAGTTTTTTAGTACAAAAATTTAAAAATTTTGTACTAGAAAGCTGCTTTAAGAAGCAATAAAAAAGCCGTCCCAAAGGAAGCCTTAGTCTGAATATCAACACTCAAAACATAATGTAGGATAACACAAGCACGAAGGAGGACATTGGAATATGATTTATAAGATGCATGTGAGACATGCCCATAGAAGCTCCTGATCAGAGAGAGAATTAAGGGTAGAAATTACACTATTATGCAGTACAAATCAGATTTCAGGGTAGCTAGTACTTGATTTTTTACATTATTTTTTATGCTTTTGGAATAACAAAGAATTGTAAATGTCTGCCCAAGAAATACCAATTTGATGCTTTGTATTTGTGGAAATGTGAATAATTTAAGAAAGCCAAAAAAATAAACACGAGCATGCACTTTGACTCCAAGGAGAACGTTGGGGTAAATGAGTTATCCTATGAAGAGTTGTCTAGTGCATTTAATTATCTATTAATAGCATTTGAAAGTTTGAAAAAGGTAGTATATTGCTTTAGCAAATACTGTGTTTTATTTTAGAAAATAATCAAAATCTTAAAATAGTTTTATTTTAGCAAGACTCTTGGTTTTTAGTTGGTGCATTATAATACCCCATGCTAAAATAAACTGTGTTTTTGCTTTCTTAAAATTTAATTTTAAATTGAATATTCAATTAATTTCATGATAAACAATAACTACATTGTAGCATACCTTGAACTACACGCCTTACATTCATGTATGCTTTCTACCTTTCTTTCATGCCAAGTTCTCTACATTATAGAATTATATGATTTTATTTTGGGAGCAAACTTTAGAGATCAAGTGATACAAATATGGCGCAATCAAGCTTATGTAATTTGGAATGACCTCATTTGCCTTCTCCACCAACTTGTAATTAACATTGGCATGCAAACTTTAATTCAAGCTATATAGAGATGTATTGGCCGATCATTAGCTCATGTATTTTAATTTGACATTAGTTTTTTCAACATTTTTTAAAGTAAGATTGAAGAACTTAAGATTTTAACTGTACATGAGGAAACTAATGTTATGTGAGAAAAACTAGCCATTAAGAATGTTGCAAATGATGTACTTAAAATATCAAAAAGAAAATCTCTTAATAGTAAAAATAGTTTGTGGTAGAATCAAAATGTGTAAGAAAAATTTAATAATAAGAAGCTTTGTTATGAAAATTAGTTTAGCTGTAAAAACTTAAAAAATTGAAAAAGATATAAAGAGGCTGGTAAGGAATATAAGAAATCAATAGGCGATGCAAATAATTTAGCTTTTATTGATTTATATAATATATTTAGATACTGAGGGTGAAAGATATATGTATATGTTAGTCAAGCAAAAAGATAGGAGAAGTAAGAATTTAGTTCAAGTGAAGTGCATTAATAATGAATATCAAAAAGAATTTTATCAGAAGAGGATAGAGGATATTCAAAAAAGATGGATGAGATATTTTGATAAGTTTTTCAATGAAGATTATGAGAATGCGATTGACTTTAGTGACATTACCACCCTAAATGAAAATAAAGATTTTTAATTTATCAGGATATTAGTAAAACCAAAATTAGAGAGACTTTAAATAAACTGAAGTGTGAAAAAGCTGTTAGACTTGATGATATTCTATAGAGTGAAAATGCTTAAGAGATTAAGGAATTTGTTGGCTTACAAAGCTTTTCAATATTATTTTGAAGACTAAAAATATTTCGAATGAGTGGAGTGTGTTGATTCTTATTTTAAATAATAAATGTGATACACAAGAGTGTGTGAATTATAGAGCAATTAGTTAATGTGTCACTTTAAAACTATGGGAGAGATTTATTGAGCATAGGTTGCGACGTAATACTACTATTTCTTAAAATCAATTTGGACTCATGTCGGATAGGTCTACTATGAAAGTTATACATTTATTGAGAGGTTTGATGTAGAAATATAGAGAGAATAAGGACGATCAACATATGATATTTATTGATTTAGAGAAAGCTTATGATAAAGTTCCAAGATAAGTGTTATAAAGAGTTCTAGAAAAGAAAATGATTAATAATGCTTAAATTAAAGTCATTAAGGATATGTATGCAATAGCTGTTACTTGTGTTCAAAACACAAGGTGGTTTGACCAAGTATTTTTCTATTTCAGTTGAATTACATCAAGGATTAGCTTTAAGCCCATATCTTTTAGCTTTAGTCATGGATGTTTAAACTAGACATTTGCAAGAGGATGTACCCTAGTGTATGCTTTTAGCTGATGATATTATTCTTGTTGATAAGATTAAAGGGCGAGTTGAAGGTAAACTTGAATTATAGAGGTCAAGCTTATAGCCTAAAAGTTTTCATTTGAGTATATCTAAAACCAAATCCATGGAGCGTATTTTTAGTATTAATAAATCTAGTTGGAGGATTATGACTTTGGACGATCAAATAATTAATAAGAGTACACGTTTTAGATATCTCAGGCATATTGTTCAAAGTGATGGTGAAATGGATGGGGATATTATTTGTACAATTCAAGTTGGATGGTTGAAATGGAGGAATGGATCGGGGTTGTTGTGTAATAGAAAAGTAACCCTCAATCTTATGGGAAAATTCTATAAGATGGTGGTGAGACCTACAATGCCTCATGGCGTAAAATGTTGGCTATTAAAAGAGAGCATAAAATGAAGTTAAGTGTAGAAGAGACAAGGATGATCAAGTGGATAAGCGCCTTTACTCTTAAAGATAGAATTGTGAAACAAGCATATATGTGAAAAGGTTGGAATAGCTCCAGTGGTAGATATTTTAAAAAGAATCTCCTTAGATGATTTGGTCACATAAAATATCAGCCTTCTAATGACATGGTTAGAATAGTAGATGCATGTTAAAAAAGGTAGAAATACACCTAAAAAGACTTGGTTAGAAAATATTAGAAATAACATTTTTTTATTAAATTTAAATAAGAATTTGACACTTGGCAAGACACAATGGAGAAATAATTCATGTAGTTGACCTCACGTTGTGGGATGAAGACTTGGTGTTGTTGTTACTGTTGTATTAGTTTCATCAATAGCTCTTTTTGGAAATGCTCCTCAATGATTGGCTTAAATATATTTTTTACTCATTTTCAATCTATATATATATATAGTCTAAGATTGAGCTCAACTTCAAGTTTGATTCATGGTGAATTTAGTTTAAGACTCGGTCCCTTCATGTTCTTTATACCATTCTTTGAGATAGTCACTTCTTTGTGAAATCCTCCAATGGTTGTTTGGATGGATATATAGGAATCTATGGGAAATGAAATGAAGCAGGCAAATATGCTTAATGAAATACAACTAATCGTTATATTGTCCTAGGCTATATGTAATACATAGGCAAATATTTTGAATGAATGCACTGAAAATAATATTCTCCTATGCACTACAATATTTTAACTACAAGCTAACTAAGAAATGAATTGCTTAGTGGCCGTTTGGAATCAATTTTTTTAGGTTAAAATTTTTAATTTATTTTATTTTGTTTATGTTTAGGGTCTTAAAAATACGTTTTTTGTTTATTTATGGGATGTTGGTGGTCAGCAATAATGGTGGCTATGGCTGTTGCTGATAGTCATTTTTAAATATCTCAAAATACTTAAAAGTTGTTTTGATTGTTTTTTAAAAATAAAAATAACTTCATTTAATTTCAAAAATAAAAATAGTTAAAAACACATTTAAAAAACTTATTAAAAATATAAAAATAAAAATAATAATTATACCAAGCAGGCTTTTATAAAATCAAAATGCACATATAAGTAGTGTTTTTAAACTGGACCACAGATACGATCCTTCTAAGTAACAAAGAGTAATAAGGAGGCGTGGGGAAATAGCAAGAAGCATCTAGGATTCTAGTGAGTTGTGTGGAGCAGAAAACCTTCAGCAGTACGCAAAATCTCAAAGGAACCGAAAGTGAATCCGATAAAATTGGAAAAGGAACAATTTTTTTAAATCAAACTGCTTCACAGTTTAAAACCCATAATAAATTTGATGCTTCACAGATCACACAGGCAAGCTTGTCTTTTTACCCATATTGGCAGCCAAGAAGACAAACTCAAGGTTTGGTTATTTATCAAACCATCTGGGGCAGCCCATACACTTTGTTGGCATACTTACACCGATCAAAATATTCAAGGGTTATAAACCAATAGGTCTAAAAATCACAACCATGTTAAGTTATAACCATTATTATTAAGAGTGCTCTTTACACGTTAGTATAATGAGTGTTATTAGCGCACACTTTGGTTTCATTTGGGATGGCTTTCTTACTGCTTCTTAAAACAGCTTTTTAGTATAAAAATTTCAATTTTTTACTAGAAAGCTGCTTTAAGCAGTAAAAAAGTTGTCCCAACTGAAGCCTTTAAGATGTGCACTTGGAACTAAGGACAGCTACACTGAGTGGCCGCCTTCCTCCATTGCAAAGTGTGACAACACTAAAATGCATGGTCACGTGCACTCTGTAACACATCTCCATACTCTCAAAAGTGATGAAAATGCGGCTTTATTATTTTGACTTTTGGGTTAAAAGGCTCGTCCCACAACTAGAATGGGTTCATAAAATCACCTAGTAACTAGCTAATTCTAACG